ATAAGATCTTTCATTATTCCATTTTCTTTCGGGTTTCCCATCTCCCTTCGTGCACTCTGTTAATGACGTGACAGATTCCCTCAATGCCAGTATTTGACCCTCGAGCTCTGCCTTATGACTTTTCAAGCCGTCCTCTTTCTCGGATGCCAAATTCCTATGTTCTGAATTCGTGCACACCTCGTTCATTACTCCCCTTTTCCCGCAAGCCGCCTCAATCTCCTCTTCTTCTGCCCCGCATATTGGTCCAAGGTTTCCGGATGTTTTTGCATTACCTGCCTCCGGATGTCAGCGGCCAAACCTCTCAAAAAACACTCCTTCATAGCGTTATCCCGAAGTGGGGCCAAGTTACTGTTACGAGCTACGGCTTGCGAGAACAAAGACCTTATGCGGATCCGTACTCACAGACCTTCTCTCCTTTCTTTTGGGTTATTTTTAGGACTTGATTGAACGATCTTGTTCTTTGTCCCTACGATCGAATCATTTGACAAGGCCCCTTTTTATCTCGTCGTAACTTGTGATGCCTTGATCCCTTAGATCGAAAAATACCGAAAGTGGTTTCCCCCAGTGGCGTAGTGTGGGTGTCAGCCGCCCGGGGTGGAGGAAAATTTCGCCCCCCTTATTTAGGTATCTCAATTTAAAAGACTAAAATTCAGTTTCGTCACAGAATAAGTAATGAAAAATTCCGTGCTAGTGTTGCTACCTTTTTAAAATCTCTGACCCGGACGGAAGGTGAGGTTGTTCAAACAAAAGTGGTAAAAGTTTATCCTTACGTCATGGGGCCTTGAACGTTACCGGATTAATCGATACGGAAATGGGGGGACGCACGCTTGGCCGACTATTCACAATCCTGTCGCGGACGCCAATGTAAACTCCGCGAGGCACGTGGTCTGCGGTTTTAGACAAAAGATGAATGAAACAAAGGAAGGATAATGAATAGTCGGTGAAAACGTGTAACTTGACAAACAAAGGTTTATTTGAGACGAAAAACGCGGTACAATATTAATACAAATACACAGTTCAAGAACGGAAACCGATAGCGTCACAATAATAATACTGCTAGATATTCCCCCTTCCAAATTTCCTTCCTGACGTGAGGCCCTGCTTTTCCTGACAAGCGGTATAAATCTGATGACAAAAATTTTCACAAAGAAAAATTTGGGAAACAACCTGAAAAGCGACAATCCAAACAAGTTTGCCTCCGGTCATACTTTAAAGGGATTCCCAGTGTGAAGGTAAGGAAACAAAGAAACTAGGGGAAATAGGGGAAACTAGGGGAACATAGAGAAGGAAAGAAAGAAATATGATAACTCAAAATAAAACAACAAAAACAACTGGTTTGTAGGAAGTGATGTAAATTTCGAATATTTGAAATATTCGTATATTTCACTTTTTCAAAATGAAAATGTTTCGAATATTTGGTATTCGGGTTTTGCCAAATTTTCAGTATTCGCCTCAGCTATCCTAAATGACGTCCATACTGAAGGGAGGTTATGACGAGAGGAGGAGTTGAACTTCACTGGCAGACGTCCGTTTTATTTCATTAAATTTTATACAGTTTATACATTTTATTATTCATAAAGTGGTAAAGATTTGGGAGGGTTGAGTTTTGTTAAATGTCCGAAGAGGGGGGTTACGGAAACTTGGAAAACTAAGACAATGGGAGGAGGAGAAAAAATTTAAAGAAAAACGTGGACGTAATTTGCACACCTCCTTACATAAAATTGGTAACTAATCAAAGTTCAGTTATTAACTGTCGTTGAATTGTAATAATTAAGTCAGAATTTATATTAGCCACTCTATTTGATTTTAAATAATATTGACATTCATCTTCAATGAAATACAAATGAAGACATACAAAATGATAAATGAAAAACAAGGTATTACACATTTTTAATTTTTTTCATTAAGTGGTAAGTTTTCGTGGAGGTTGACTTGTTTCTTTAATTATGGTCCTAGTCCCATATAATTGTTTTCTGGAGACCGGATGACCGAGCGGTCAAGGCCTACCTCTCTGGTGGACCCGGGTTCGAATCCGGACTGGTCGATAAATCCCCAAAAATTTTTAGGGAGTGGTCCGTCCGGATATGTCGGGCCCCATCCCTCACCACCCGGCCGCCCCATTGTGGGCCTGGCCGAACCCATAATGGGCTTTCTAATGGACGCCCTCTTACTGCCCACAGGGCGGAAAGAGTTTTAAAAAAAAGTCCCATATAATTTCCACGATCGCCGGTGATATATTCTATTGCAAGGAAAAAACCTCTCACTTTCAATGGAGGTTACCGGAATGCACAGAAATTTGATACGAAAGGATTAAAATCCTTAGAACCACCATACTCAACCTGCGGCCCACTAAGCTTTTGTGAGTGGCCGAGACATGACCCGTAAATAATGCATCAAAAAAATTTTGTGGCAAAAAATAGAATCGCTCGCACCGTTAAGTCCCTTTTGCCCTTTCTTAGAAAGTTGTCGTCGCCAAATGTCCGAGCATTGTGAACATGTGGTGGCCATCAGGCGGCGATCCGCAAGGGATTGTAAAAGTAGAGCTAGACTTAGTAATTTACTAAGACCCATAGCGCCTACACGCGATATTAAAATTGAGTAAACAATAAATCACAACTGAATTAGCGACCATTTTATTTGAGAAACTGTAATTTATAATTATTATCAACCACGTCAGCAGTGTCTTCCAAATAAAAACGAAAAATGCCTGACGAAAATAGATTGTTTCAAGAAGAATGGGAAGTAGTACAAAACAAACACGGTTTAGCAACTTGTTTGATCTGTCGTGAAAGTGTTATATTAAAGAAATATAATATTACTCGTCATTTTAACACTAAACACAAATCGTTCAATGTTACTTATCTTCGGGATCTCTCATAAGACGCGAGAAATTGGCTATTTTTAAAAAGTCATTGCAACATCAACAAAATATGTCTGTGACAATAGCACAAGATGCAGCTGTAACAAAGACATCCTATGAAATTTGTTATATACGTACTTGGTAAACATGTGAAACCGTTTACTGATGCTGAAATTGTGAAGGAATGTTTTTAAGCGCTTCCAATGTACTGTTTGATAAATTCAGTAACAAAAATCAAATAATTTCGGAAATAAAAGAATCCAGCTTTCAGATTCTACCTATTGAAGATACTGCAAACCATATTTGCGGTAACGTAATTGAAGACTTGAAAAACTGTAAGTTTTTTAGTTTAGCTTTTGACTCTAGCACGGATATTTCAGCAACATTACAATGCTCGGTTTTTTGTTAGATATTGTACAGAAAATTCAATTTGCGAAGATTTTTTGAAATTCTTCCAATGAAGGACCAGACCAAGAGCAAAGATTATGTCGATACTATTTGCAATTTTCTAGAAGAGAACAAGATAGATATAAAAAAAAATTAGTTTGTGTGTGTACCGATGGCTGTCCTTCAATGACTGGATCCTAAAATGGATTTATTTCTCTACTGAAACAGAATTATGATTTGACAAATCTAATAACATTTCATTGCATCATTCATCAGAAAAATTTGGCTTCACGTATTGCTAGTTCTAAAGTAGATACTGTGATGAAAACTGTCATAAATATAGTGAATTATATCCGAGCACGAGAATTGAACCACAGAAAATTTAAAAGACTTTTAGAGGAAGTGGGTAATCAATACAGTGATATTCTTTTATATACCTCGGTACGTTGGCTTAACAGGGGAAAAATTCTGAAAAGGTTTATTTCTTTGTGAAAAGAAATAATGCTGTTTTTACAGCAAAATAATAAAATTCACAGTGAACTGCAAAATGATGAATGGTGATGTATTGTAGCGTTTCTGCGCGACATTACAGAGAAGCTTAACAGCCTCAATACTGGTTTACAGGGTGAAAATAGAATAATTTCACCGATGGCGAATAAAATATTTGCTTTCGAAGGAAAATTAAACATTTATTACCAAGAAATACGAAACAAAATACTGCAAAATTTTCCAACCATGACAAAAGCTAAACAAGACGGTATTAATATTTTTCCAGAAAACTACACAATTTTTTAAAATTATTTAACTGCGCTATCAGAGGAATTTAAACACAGATTTCATGATCTAAGAAAAATAAAAAATATGTTGTTACTCATTGAAAATCCCTGGCTATTGGAACCGACAATAATATCAGAACTGGCTGATGTATTGGCATGTAATTACGCAGAGCTATTTGATGAATTTATTGAGATGAAGAACAACACACACCTGGAAGCTATTGCTAAACAAAAGAGAGCGGAAAATAAATACGTTAACTTCTGGAAAATAGTGCCTGAACAATATAAGACTGTAAAAATATGTGCTCAAATTTTACTTACGTTGTTCGCATCAACGTATCTATGTGAAACGTCATATTCAAAAATGAAATATACAAAAAGCATATATAGAAACCGCCTTACTGATTCACACCTGGATGCCATTTTACGAGTAGCATGCAGAAGTTACAAGCCTGATTTAAATGAAATTGTGAAAAAATGTTCGCCATATCAACAGTCACACTAATTTTCTAGGGTGAGTGAGAAATTATGTACGTTTTTTTTATTATAATCGTTATGTTGCGGCCCGCGTGTAATACCTATCATGTGTATGTGGTCCGAGAAAAAAAAAAAAAAAAAGGTTAAGTATGGTAGCCTTAGAATATTGTGAGTTAAGTGGTTGGTTATCGATCAGTGGATTTTTCGTTTTGATATCGTTAGATTACATATAATTGTTCAGTTAAAATTCTAAAATATAAGCAAAAGTACGATTTACTTCTTACACATCGCTAAAAGCGCATACGCCACTTACTTTAGCGAATATTCGGAAAATTTGTGTTTCCAAGAGTTGATATTCGAATACTGTATGTCGAAAAACTGAAAACACCGGTTTTTGAATATTCGAAATATTGGAAATTTACAACACTAGTGTTTAGTTATATTTAGTTACTTATTAAAAGTTTCATCAATTTACATTTGCAAAAATGCAAAATACTTACTTTTTCAGGAGAAACTGGTTTATCATCATCTAAAATAAATCTAAGTGAATTCTGTACATCTTTCCACAATGATTGATACAATCTGTATAAATTATATAAGTTATAAATTTGATATTCATAATATACTAATATCAATATTTGATATTTACTATAGGTTATATGAAGTTTTACAATAAAAATTACCATCTTATTAATTACTAGTCATTCTAATTTAATTGCAATTAAGCACTGAAATAAAATATTAAATATTTTTGAAAATAAAATTATCACAATGCTTATGATAAACCAGTTGGAGGGTTGAACAGTTAGTTTAAGATGACAGCCTACTGCTTTAGGGAACCAGTTTCTCGCAGGAGTTCTTAAAGGGTGGTCCCGGATATTTTGGGCCCCATCCCTCATCTTCCTCCTTCAGCCACTAGCCACTATTGTGGACCTGAACAAACTCACAATGGACTGAAAAAAAAATCCATGTGAGTAACCACAGGATGGAAAGAGCAAGAAAAATAAAACGTTTATGATAAATATTTTCAACTTAGATATCTAATAGTATCTTAGCTATGTCATATATTAAAAAGATAAACATAATTTTAAGATCTCTAACAAAAAGTGTATAATCTATATAACTAAGGACCACATTTGTATGCACGTGCATTTTTTCTTTCTTTCTTTTCTAAAATGTTAATGGTTTTGAAACATTATAACTTGCTTTGGGTCCATCCAAATGGAACAAATTAATGTCGTCCGATAATGCATTTAAAATAAAATATGCATTTATGATTTTTATTGCATATTTTGCAGATTTGACCATTTTCGGGGCTATTATTATTTTACAGTCTCATAAACTTTATAACTTGTTTGCATAGTTTAGTCCTGTTATCTGTGCAGTGAGTTGTAAATTTCTTTTTCTTTTTTTTCTGCTTGCATAGTGAAAAATATTCAATTACAGATAAACGCGCGAAATTTAAATGTTTTAAATTTGAAATTAATTCGTATTCACATAGAGACTACGTTGCAGTTTCTGCATTCCATTAAGAAATTCATTGAATTTCTTTAGTATTAGCGAGGTTGAAGCCGAAGTTTTAAACGCGAAAACGTGTACGTCGGACGTTCAACGCCATTTTCCTGTAAGCCTAGAAGTTTGACGTTGGTGTTTGGATAGTCAGTGGAATCATACTCGACATTCCAAACACCAATGTCAAATTTCTAGGCTTACAGGAAAGTGACGCTGAACGTCCGACGTACACGTTTTCGCATTTAAAACTTCGGCCTCAACCTCGCTATTCTTTGTGTGATACGTTCGACGAAAAAACAACATCAAGAAAAAATTGAAATAATTTTTTTTGTTTAATTATGATATTTTTGTTTAATTATGATGTTTAATTATGATAAGTTTATACTCATCTATAAAAATTGAATCATGCAGAGTAGCACTTTTAGACTTCATGCTGAGCAAGAGCCCAAATTTGGCGGGTTACAATAATGATTTGATCGAACTAGCTAACCTTATTTGTTATCAATCTTTTTTCGCATTTAATGGCCGTCGATACAGACAAAGAAGAGGAGTCCCTATGGGAAGTCCCATGTCAGGACTTTTATGTGAGCTTGTATTGAGAAGGTTGGAAAAAAGTGCTCTTTCTGTTTTCTTAAATGCCATTGTGTATTTTAAAAGATACGTGGACGATGTCTTGGTAATTTGGAAGAATGACCAAAAGATTGATGAGTTTATCAACATGATAAACAGCAACAATGATGGTCTCATGTTGAAGATTGAACAAAAATGTGCTTCACGGATACATTTTTTAGATATTGACATTGAATTTAAAGAAGGGCGTTTGACAACTAATGTATACGTAAAACCGACGCATAGCCCTCTGTACATTCCGTCCCATTCTAATGATCCCTACCAGTACAAAATGGCTGCCTTCCGTGCCCTTATCCAAAGGGCTTTTCTCTATTGCAGTAATGTCTTGGATAGGNGTGCATTAAGCTGAAATGTTAGTATATAACGAAATAAATGTTTCTCAGTAGCCAAAGTTGTTTAGTGATGAGTTAGTTCATTACTATCATTATATACATTACATAAATCATCTGCTTATATACAGTATGTATAAATATGACTTTAGAATTTCATAAAAACTATATTTAAATCAAAGAAAAGAGCAAATTCGTTCCTCATTAGGCAGCCATATTGTCAATTCCGCGATGGTCAATGGCGACCAATGGTAGACATATGCAAGCTCGGTTTCTACATATAATTGTACACTTTGTTTATTATATAATATATAATATCGAGAAGTGAATAATTTCTCAAAAATATATTTTGAGTAAGAAAATAACTATTAAATTTGTAAAGTATTTATAAAAAATAAAAGATGAAACTTTACTTACTTATTTGACATTTTAAAATTAGTTCATTCTTATCGAATGTTTGTTTATGATCGATTCTTCGGTTGCTTGGCAACGTTCTATGTAAATGTACAGTTGTCAATTCAGTTTAATATTTATTTCTATTATTTCTATATATAGAATTTAAATTACCATAAAATAAGTGTAAATAATTTTCCAAATACAAAAATATATAAATTAAAGTCAATTATTTAACTTTTTGTTCATTTAATTATATAGGCCTAATTACATAATTAAATGAATAACGAGCAATTATTTATTGTGACATCGTCACAATTCCGTGTTACAATTTTTACACAATACTCTCCAGCTGAAATTAGTACTGTAATGTCTTGCACCTGTATATCAAACTTTTCCGTTAGCAACAGAGTAGTGCTTGTCATCTATCTAACTCCTTTCAGGTAATAAAATTTGAATTGAACTAACATGACTTTCGGTTTGTATCAGAAGTTCGTATATACTTAATCAGGGCCTACTGTCCCTAATCTTTCCAGATCTGGCCTAAACAAGGACGACACAAAATTGCGAAGCGTCCTTATTAATCCAGAAATTTTCGGGACGATTTGTTCTGGATATATCGAACTTCGTCCTACCACCAGGCCAGTCCTTCATCATTATTATTCATCATCGGTTTAGCAAGATCTTCGTTATGGAACTGACTAAAGCCATGACGCACATGAATTTTTTTTAAATATTAGGTAGTCAGTTAATTATAACTAACAATAATGAAATAATAATTAAAACTCTGGTTTTTACATCGAAACCGAAACTTAATCTAAAATTTAAAATAAAACTAAAATTATTTAATTAATTAATGTAAATTACAATTAAAATTTAAATCAAATTAAATGAAACATATTTCGGAAAATGTGGATAAAATACTTTTGTCCGCCTTGATTGATTCGGTTATATTTCATCCAGGCACATTTGAGCCTATTTATAGCATACTTTTGTAAAGTGATGGTTTCGTTCGGTTGACGGTGACGGAACATTTTGCTTTTACTTTTAATGGATACAGATAATATTATATTATATATAATACTGTATTATATTGCATTTGTAGGTATTTTTATGCATGAAATACAGATATAAAGGTTTTTAAAAAATTACTTTGTTTTGGTAGTCGGGAACGGACTAATCCATTTTATATTGTTTCTTATGTGAAAACTTGTTTCTGTTTGAGAATAAATCGGTTTTCGAACAAATTTTACGAGCGAATCAAGTTCGAAAACCGAGGTTTGACTGTATATGCGACCGAAGTTGAACAAAGTAATAATCGATTTGTTCAAGCAATTTTCCATCACTAATTTTATGGTGTGTTTCGTTTAGAAACCTCTTGATGCTTGATGAGAGTCCACTTTAAAGCATTCTAAGTATATATCTGCTATACAAAGGAATGAAGCACCTGTTATAAATTTAAAAAGTAAATTTTATAAATTTACTTTTATAATTAAAAGTAAATTTATAAATGTTACGATAACTATATACAGTGGAACCTCGCTTAACGAGCATAACTCGTTCCAGAATCTTACTCGTAATACGAAACACTCGTTAAGTGAAACAATTTTTTCCGTATAAATTAATGTAAAATACGATAATGCGTTCCACGCCGAAAAAGTACTCAAATATTTTATGTATCACGTTTAATCAAAGGAAATTATACAATATACATTGTTAAGGAGCGTAAATGAATCTTCTAGCACGGAATGAGTCAACCTGGAGTGCGAATTCGATTTGCAGAAAAAAAAAATTATAGGTAATATGTCTGATAAACACGCCAAACGATATGCAAATTCTTGGGCTATGTAAGCTATAATTAAATATTAGAAATTAATTGACTAGAGGTAGGTAGTCATGCTGCCATCTCGTATTAAATTTAATAACCAATTCCAAATTAAATTTTAGAAATGTCTAAATTAAAAATTATTTATAATTATTAAATTTTATACAAGATGGCAGCATAACTGCCTATCTCTAGTTAAATTAATTAATTTCTAATATTTAATTATAGCCTTTACATAGCCCAAGAATTTGGCATATCGTTTCAAGGTGTTAGAATATAAGGTTGCCTCATACCAAGGTCTTAGAATATTCTAAGACCTTGATATCGTTTGGCATGTTTATTATATAACGGGCTATAGCTGTTGATGTTTAAAAGTAATATGTGTGAACACAAGTTTGGAATAATGTGAGATCACAAGTGACTCTAAGATGCTAGCGGAACAAGTGCTAAACACAGACTGATGGAGCATGCGCACAATCCGGGACTTCTCTCCTTGTCACTCGTTAAGCGAATTATTTTTTACAATTTGTTTTGCTTATTATGCGAGATGCACGTTAAGCGAAGTTTCACTGTATAGTGTAGGATGATTTCAATACTAAAAACCAAATTAAACCAAAGCAAAAATTTATAATTGTTTATTTCTTATATCAAAATGTAAAAAAAAAACTATACAGGCGTACTGTACGGTAGATAAAAAAAGCCTAAAAACATATTTAAACAATTATTTATTAGGTACACAATAGTATAGGCTAAAAAATTATGCAAAGATAAAAATAATAAATAAACAAAAATTCCGAAAACCTCGTTAATATTGTAAATAATCATAAAATGATAACTTTTTCATTTTTCATTTTTTCCGTTCTGTGGACACTAAGAGAGCATTCTTTTCTTACCCATCAAGCTAGGCCCACAACGGGGAGGCCAGGTGGAGGGGACGAGATCCAACATATCAGGGACAGATCGCCCATGAAAACTTCTGAGGTTACTTGCTTAGATTCGATTGCAGCTCCCTCAGAATGATAGGATGATGCCTTAATAGTTTTGATAGGATAGGATGATGCCTTAATAGCTCAGAATGATAGGATGATGCCTATCAAGTCGTCCATAAGTTGTCAATCTTTAAAACTAATACAGTCGACAACTTCTTGTTCGAAATCCCGAAAACCGAAGGTTTTTTCATGAGTTTGAGGTTTAACTTGCATAAATGTCACTGAACAAAACTTCATAACTGACAAGGGGACATAAGTATGTATTACTGTATTTTTAATTCGTCTTACAGGAGAATGTTATTTTTCGTAAGAAATGAAGATCTAGAAAGAAAATATGTAAAAAATGATTTGTTATCAAAACACAAAGGCTTGAATATTTAGGTCGGTAATTAGTGAAACCCTAGGGAATTCTTACTTTTATAAATGCCAATACTACCATTCCGAAGTCCGAAAAATTCCGAAATACGAGGTGTCTGGTTCCAAAGATTTCGGATATGAGATATTTCGACTGCGTATGATTACAATAGTTATAAAAAAGTTTCATTTTATTGAACAAACTCAAAGTAAAACTTTATTTTTAAAAATGTCTTCTGAATTACATGGATTTTTCTTTCGCTGAATTGATGAAAGTATCCATATCATCATTTGAGTTATCATCCATCCAGTAAACTGAAATATCAGAAAAATTATTTAAAATTAAATTGAAACTCATTTAAATATAAATGAGTTTCAATTTAAATTACTCGTACTTTTATATTTAAAAAATTCTATAAACAAAATTAGAGAACCTGTAATAAAATAATTCAATTTAAATGTATAACAGACATATGAAAGATTCGTGAGAAAATGGTACGAGTAACAAAATGTACAACGGGATAAAATTTAAAATTGGTTAAAAAATCATATTTTATTAAATTAAATTCATAAATATATTTATTTATTTATTTAATTTACATATTATTAACATTAATTTATAATTATTGACATTTATCATCCTTTTATTTTTAAATTGATACTCTTTTGTATTTTTAAATTTTTAACATAAAAAATTTTTTGTCACTTATATATGAAGAGGTGAGCGGAAGAGCGGTATGAGTACAGTGCATTCGCGATAATTGGAACAATTTTGTTCGTAATTTCGCTAAATGTTTCAGTCAAAAACAAAAAGGAATCATAAATTCGTTTTTAAAAATTAAGTAATGCTTATAGTCCTTTAAATATTATTTTATTTGGATGCAATTTAAATAAATTGTAGACCTATAAATTCCCACTGTCGTATGTCTGTCTTTCCTTTATCTCGAGAAAGGAGTTAAATAGATGAAAGGCAAAATCAGACATGAAACCTTAGGGGCAGGAGGCCATGATTAAGTATATAGGAACTTCCGATAAAAACCGAATGTCACATGATTTGAATTCAAAATTTTTCCTCCAAAAGGAGTCAGATAGATGACCTGCACTACTCTATTTCTAACAGGAAAAGTATGATGTACACGGACAAAACACTATTAGTTTGAGATGAAGAGCATATATTTTAAATTAAATAAATTAAAAATATGATTAAAATTTCAGCCAGGCATTGTGACGATGTCACAATAAATAATCGTTCGTTAAATTAGTTTGGTTTATTTGATTCTGATGAAACCGTGTTGTCGTTATTAAGCTGTTTCTTTGCAGACACACTAAGGTGACATATATCAACACTTGGCAACTTATTGACTATTATCCAACTGAATAAATAGTCAATAAGTTGCCAAGTGTTGATATATGTCACCTTAGTGTGTCTGCAAAGAAACANCGTGACGTCATTTACGCTGCACTCTCGCTGCATAAAGAAACGCAGCCATTTTGAAGGAGTGTCCCTTGTTCGACAATGAACCATTCCATCACGTCTCGATGACTCCGGGACGATGCGGTCGACTTCCGTTGATGGAAAGATGTCGATCCGAGGTCGGGAGATGGAAACGAAGATGGGCGCGAGACACACACACAACAGATCCGTCACTTGGAACTTTCGGGAGAAGAAGACGTCGCGTCCTTGAAAGTCAGGGGTTTTATCCGTTTTCTCTCAGATTCCCCTTACCGATTGGTCTCTCCTCGTCAGCTGATGACAATTCGAAACCTTTCGGGGGCGCGGGAGAGATGAAAATCGAAGTTTAATTCGATCTCCAACCGGAACTGGTCGACGGACTTACATTCTTCTATTGTTTAAAAGTCTTCTATTGTCTAGCGCCGCGTTTTCATAAAATAAAAAGCTATTTCTAACTACTATATTATTTTCTTTAAAACAATTATTTTCCGCGAATTTTAGTGAGGGTTCGGACCTGTCCACAGCCTCACAATTCCATTAAGAAATTCATTGAATTTCTTTAGTATTAGCGAGGTTGAAGCCGAAGTTTTAAACGCGAAAACGTGTACGTCGGACGTTCAACGCCATTTTCCTGTAAGCCTAGAAGTTTGACGTTGGTGTTTGGATAGTCAGTGGAATCATGCTCGACATTCCAAACACCAATGTCAAATTTCTAGGCTTACAGGAAAGTGACGCTGAACGTCCGACGTACACGTTTTCGCGTTTAAAACTTCGGCCTCAACCTCTCTATTCTTTGTGTGATACATTCGACGAGAAAACAACATCAAGAAAAAATTGAAATAATTTTTTTTGTTTAATTATGATATTTCGTATAAAATTCCGAACCAGATACGCGTCATGGATACGCGTTGGTTTTTAATAATAAAAAGCATGCATTTTAACGAATATAATTTTTTTAGTACAGTAGTTGGTATTTTATCAAAAGGTGATAAATTATTGTTTACAGATGCTTAAAATTTAATTAGAGCAGGCTCTGTGTACATTTCCTAAACTTATTTTTCCATATTTTAAAATTCGAAACTACTCTAAAATTCTTATGATCTTCATCATAGACACGTATTATCTTCAGGATGATTAGCGCAGTAGCTAACAGTGGCGGATTTCCTATTTGGCCCACAAGGTCCGGGCCTAGATGTTCAAAGCTTGAGAGCATAAAAATTCAAAATATTAATAATAACAATAAAATAATAAAAAATAATAATAATTTTATGCAGAAACAATTCATATAAGAATTAATGCAAATTAAAAGCTTAACATATGAATATATTTTGCATGAACAGAGTGGTAGTACTAATGATGGGTTTTCATTAGCAGTGCCCATTGCCTTTTCGATATTTCAAAATATTCAGTGCAAAAATGGCACTATCATAGTTTAAGGGCACCAGCATCGAAATTAGGTCTAGGGACACCATATTTCGAAATGCGCCACTGATAGCTAGCGAAAAAGATTATTTTTTGATACATTTACATATATCCCATTCATGACTCTTTTTTCGCACTGCTGGAACTAAGGTTTGGAATTAACCAATAGCACTTTCACGATAAAATTTTATATTATTTATAGAATTTTTATGTTACTTTTATACAGTATTAGAATTTTAATTTCTTGTGTTGTTTATATTCGAATATTTAAAATTTAATATTCTGTTTTTGTTGAATTCTATTTTCGAACAGTCTGTAACTGATGGTCCAATAATTAGTCATCTGAGAATGGCCTGTGCATTAAGCTGAAATGTTAGTATATAACGAAATAAATGTTTCTCAGTAGCCAAAGTTGTTTAGTGATGAGTTAGTTCATTACTATCATTATATACATTACATAAATCATCTGCTTATATACAGTATGTATAAATATGACTTTAGAATTTCATAAAAACTATATTTAAATCAAAGAAAAGAGCAAATTCGTTCCTCATTAGGCAGCCATATTGTCAATTCCGCGATGGTCAATGGCATCAATGGTAGACATATGCGAGCTCGGTTTCTACATATAATTGTAGACTTTGTTTATTATATAATATATAATATCGAAAAGTGAATAATTTCTCAAAAATATATTTTGAGTAAGAAAATAACTATTAAATTTGTAAAGTATTTATAAAAAATAAAAGATGAAACTTTACTTACTTATTTGACATTTTAAAATTAGTTCATTCTTATCGAATGTTTGTTTATGATCGATTCTTCGGTTGCTTGGCAACGTTCTATGTAAATGTACAGTTGTCAATTCAGTTTAATATTTATTTCTATTATTTCTATATATAGAATTTAAATTACCATAAAATAAGTGTAAATAATTTTCCAAATACAAAAATATATAAATTAAAGTCAATTATTTAACTTTTTGTTCATTTAATTATATAGGCCTAATTACATAATTAAATGAATAACGAGCAATTATTTATTGTGACATCGTCACAATTCCGGGCTACAATTTTTACACAATACTCTCCAGCTGAAATTAGTACTGTAATGTCTTGCACCTGTATATCAAACTTTTCCGTTAGCAACAGAGTAGTGCTTGTCATCTATCTAACTCCTTTCAGGTAATAAAATTTGAATTGAACTAACATGACTTTCGGTTTGTATCAGAAGTTCGTATATACTTAATCAGGGCCTACTGTCCCTAATCTTTCCAGATCTGGCCTAAACAAGGACGACACAAAATTGCGAAGCGTCCTTATTAATCCAGAAATTTTCGGGACGATTTGTTCTGGATATATCGAACTTCGTCCTACCACCAGGCCAGTCCTTCATCATTATTATTCATCATCGGTTTAGCAAGATCTTCGTTATGGAACTGACTAAAGCCATGACGCACATGAATTTTTTTTAAATATTAGGTAGTCAGTTAATTATAACTAACAATAATGAAATAATAATTAAAACTCTGGTTTTTACATCGAAACCGAAACTTAATCTAAAATTTAAAATAAAACTAAAATTATTTAATTAATTAATGTAAATTACAATTAAAATTTAAATCAAATTAAATGAAACATATTTCGGAAAATGTGGATAAAATACTTTTGTCCGCCTTGATTGATTCGGTTATATTTCATCCAGGCACATTTGAGCCTATTTATAGCATACTTTTGTAAAGTGATGGTTTCGTTCGGTTGACGGTGACGGAACATTTTGCTTTTACTTTTAATGGATACAGATAATATTATATTATATATAATACTGTATTATATTGCATTTGTAGGTATTTTTATGCATGAAATACAGATATAAAGGTTTTTAAAAAATTACTTTGTTTTGGTAGTCGGGAACGGACTAATCCATTTTATATTGTTTCTTATGTGAAAACTTGTTTCTGTTTGAGAATAAATCGGTTTTCGAACAAATTTTACGAGCGAATCAAGTTCGAAAACCGAGGTTTGACTGTATATGCGACCGAAGTTGAACAAAGTAATAATCGATTTGTTCAAGCAATTTTCCATCACTAATTTTATGGTGTGTTTCGTTTAGAAACCTCTTGATGCTTGATGAGAGTCCACTTTAAAGCATTCTAAGTATATATCTGCTATACAAAGGAATGAAGCACCTGTTATNCGTGTACGTCGGACGTTCAACGCCATTTTCCTGTAAGCCTAGAAGTTTGACGTTGGTGTTTGGATAGTCAGTGGAATCATGCTCGACATTCCAAACACCAATGTCAAATTTCTAGGCTTACAGGAAAGTGACGCTGAACGTCCGACGTACACGTTTTCGCGTTTAAAACTTCGGCCTCAACCTCTCTATTCTTTGTGTGATACATTCGACGAGAAAACAACATCAAGAAAAAATTGAAATAATT